AATTCGTAATGATTGTCATTCGAAAGTCTTTGGGAAATTACAAGAAAACATGTGATTTGGTCAAATAAAACACGTTCAGTTCGCACGTGACGTCACTATGCACACACCTTGTGAAAACGGCCATTGGCAGAGAGGGGGAAAGTACCCTCCCTCTCTTTCACCTCCCCTACATGCGCTAAAAATTTCGCGCAGGTCGTTTTCTAAACGGCCGACCTATACAAGGGTTTATTACAGAATTTCATATCCTTATGTAAAGTGTGTAAGTTAGCCTAGGCCAATGTTAGAATTCGTATTAAAAAGTAATTTGTATTTTTTATAAAATCCTTGGTTTGCAAACCCAATTAAAATGTTGATTAAGAAACTTGATCAGAAAACAAACTCAATCGAAAAGTCAGATAGTTTGTTGGCAGATGTGCCTACGTTGATGCATACTGTATGCCTAGTATAAATTAATGTACCTAGATCAATCTATTAAAGTACTGTAAACTGCTAAACCATATTGTTGGTTGTAGAGCGTGTTGTTGAGTATCAGCTTCAGTCAGGACGGAGACAAGTTCGCCACTTGCGGAGACACTTGTCAGCTGTGGGAAGAGTCTCGTAGCGAACCAATCAGAACACTCACTTGGGATGTGGACTCTCTCAACTACTTAGCCTTCAATCCTGTCGAGACTTATCTTTTAGGTAACGTGATACAATCATTTTTTGAAGAAATTCTAAATTAATCTGGCTCACTATAGTATGGATGAGTTTCTAAATAAAAAATGTAATAACTACAGTATCCATTCTAAAATAATTGTGAAATTGTATAGTTAAGTCTTTTAGATTAAATTGTAGGCCTATATAACCATTTTTTTAGAGGACACTATTCATGTAGGCGATATAGAATGTAAAGTGAATAAAGATAATTTGATTTGATATGAATACAATGGGGCAAAACCAGTGACAGGGCTCTAGGTTTTTATAAAATTTGAAGTTGAGTGCAAATATTTGATGTATTGGTTTGATTGCTGTTGCTAGCTGCGTGTGGCAGTGATAGAAGCGTAATTCTGTACGACACCAGAGAATCAGGACCGCTACGTAAACTGACGATGGCCCTCCGGACAAATCAGCTTGCATGGAACCCGATGGAGGCGTTTACATTCACCTGCGCCAATGAAGACTACAAGTAAGTTTGTTTTATAATTGATTTTAATCGTAAGCACTGGCCTATATTTAGGGTAAATAGTACTCTGGGCTGCAAGCAGCTTTGCGTAGGTCCCTTGGAGCACTTTATTCAAATAATTAAAAATCCTCACAGTTACAAATTTGTATAGGAAAATATAGGCTACCAAATTGCAGGTTCAAGGAATCAATATGTTACGAAAAAAGGTTCAAATCTAGATGTCCCTAGGTGTAGCAGAGTCTCCAAACTGCTACCCAGTTTCAGCCTACTAGTTAGCCTGTAACTGCTTCCAGAAAAAAAAACTTTCCAACAGGGAATCAAGTCTTGCTTGTTGGACGACCCCTGCTATTCTGTGAAGAAGTTTAATAACACTGTAAAAAAATTCATTAACTTGTAGGTCTTTGACTCGGCCTATTGCCTGATTGTGTTAACAGCTAAATAAATGTTTTTGATAGAGGAATACAAAAAGTGGGGCCTATGTAGGCATTAGACAGTTTCAATATTTCCTCAGTAATTTAATTAATTTAATTTTGGTTATTAATGGTAATTTCCCTATAAAACCCATAACACCACAACCACAACATAAATCTGACTTGCACAAAAACAGCTATTCTTTTATTAAAATTTTGTTTTTAACTGTCCTTTAATCCTTGGACAAAAATATTTCCCCATAAAAAAACATCAAGTTACCTTGCTATTTGCCACTTACCCATTAATTGATTTTCCCTTATACAGTAGGATGTTCAATTTTAATATCAGGCTGATGGGAGAAAGTGTGTGTCAGTTTGCTGATACTGTTTATTTTCAGCTTGTACACATATGACAGTCGTAATCTGAAGATGGCCTTGAATGTACACAAGGACCATACCTCAGCTGTTACTTGTGTTGACTACGCTCCTACTGGCCGAGAGTTTGTGTCCGGAAGTTACGACAAATCTGTACGCATTTACGAAGTCACTAAGGTAAAGCTGTCAAAATTCTATAGAAAAAAATTCATGAAAATCTTTTTCTCATATTTGGTTATGTTTCTTATTACCCAATTCGTTTAGTATGTTTATTTACCATTTCATTCAGATGTATAGGGGAAATATTGATGTGCAGGTGATATATGAAAACCGATCCAATACAATTAAGTCAAACCTTTCAATTTGTACCTTTCAATCAAGGGAGGACTCAATATCAGTATCAAATTAATTTAAGAGTTGTGAGAAATACAATTTTTAATATATCTTCTTTTCTCATCTGCGCATGTTTCAAAGCTACATCCGTCAAAACAACAAGAGTAATGAGATCCAAATCAATTTAATTCATTTAAAAATTTACTTTTACTTTTACAATAAAAAGTTTAACTATGTGTTTGTGATATTTTCAGGGACATTCAAGAGACATTTACCACACAAAGCGAATGCAGAGACTCACCAGTGTTGCTTGGACAATGGACAACAAATACATCGCCACTTCCTCGGATGAGATGAACATACGACTGTGGAAAGCAAGGGCATCGGAAAAGTTGGGCGTGGTATGTTAGAATGACAATCTCATTGTCGTTACTTTTACCTTTTATTAGCATTGCTTGGTAAAATTTCTGATGTTGAACACTAAAAAGCTTTTGATGTGGTTTGAAGAATAATTAAGAGATTTGCCCTGTCTATTATTATTATGTTTAAATTATCCTTTTCAACTCATTCATTCCTTAGTTGAAAATGGTGTCAGCTACAGTGAATATTCTTACGTTTTGTGTTTCTCGTAGGCTACTAGTTTCGACTATTTCCCAATCAGGTAAGCCTGCTATTCTCAGAAAAATATCGTAAAAACCCAGGTCCTTGTGCTCTATACACCTTTTACATGTGTTTCAACCTAATTTTGGTTTTTATTCAGCTGATGGGCAGAGAAAGGGCAGCTCTGAATTACAATGAGGCGTTGAAGAAGAAGTTTGCCAACCATCCACAGATTAGGAGGATAGCTCGACACAGACAAGTGCCCAAACACATCTACAATGCTCAGAGAGAGCAGCGCACCATCCGGGACAAAACAAAGAGAAAGTATGTATACTGAAACTGTTATAGTACGTTGTCATAGCATATCTCCGTATGAATAATTGCGTTAACTGTGGGCAGAACTAGACGTCCGATATGTTTTAAGTTGTCGCCAGTTTTGGAATGAAAATGCACAATTGAATTAAGCCACCAAATAGTACACTGATCTAAATTACTAGTTTCTGCCACATGCGCCAACTTTTTAACAAAGCCAAACCGAAAGATCTTATTTTAAACTAAAACACAACATCCACTTTTGTCATATCAAACATCACATCAAAAATTGAGCTAGAAAATATTCACTAATGTAAGATAAGTAGCTTATATATGGAAAGTAGCCTACTGTAGGTTGGTGGTGGCGCGGGAAGACCTAGACCGATTTACTTTTTCCAGAGGCCAAAAACATAATTCATTAAAGTTGTCATGAATGTGTCCATGAACACAAAAACTCAAGTAGGCCTAATTTTAGTTTGATTTTTAAGAAATGTTGCATTAATAGGTAGGGCAAAATAAACTTGAATAAGTTTGTGAACCAGCAAGATTGGGTCATGGGATCAGGGTGTTTAAATTTTCAAAAATTATTATTTTTATTTTTTTTTACCCTTAATTTATGAACAAGCACATTGAAGCGTTGGTTGAAAAATTAAAGGTTCTGGAGAAAATTAACTGTTAGTGTTGTACTTAGCTTTTTTCAAAATTGGCAAATTTATTCATTTTATGCTATACTATAAAGATAAAAAAAACTCTTTTTTTCTTCCCTGTGGCAGCAAATCCAAGTACTTGTCGAACCTAATGCTATTTACATAGAGAATAAATCTGTCATGTTTATGGAAATATTTGAATAAAAATCCAATCAGACAAATGGAAATTCACTTAGTCTGCAGGTTTGCTGTTTTGGGTTTAACGTTTAATGCTGTATCACTCTCTGTGATTGGCTCATCCAACTATGTTGTTTTTCAGTAAAAAGAAATTGCCCACAGCTGGTCCATATAGATGGAATGTTGATTTACGTAATGTAAAAGAGGGTGTTAGTCTACCGAAACATATTTGCCATAGTGATTAACAAGCTAAGAATAGCTACTCTGTATTTTCATAAATAAATGTTTTGCAGTGATTATCATTAGCTAATTCGTTTATTTTTCTGTTACAGAGAAGCCAACCGCCGTACCCATTCCAAGCCTGGAACAGTTCCTTTTGTGCCAGAAAGAAAGAAACATATTGTCACAGAAAAATCTTAGTGGTTTTTATATCATTATATTTAATGTAAAAAGTTTTCCACATAATTGATTAAAAGTACAACTCCAAAGTATATATTTTTTAATCAACCCTCTATTTTTTTATGACTAAGGTTTATGATTTTTTAAATGTGGAAAAATGTTAATAACCTTTATTGAAACTGCAAATTTTACACTATGCATTTTTATCAATATGTTTTCACCTTAACAAATGACTGTGCCAATATTTATTCAAATGAATATTATTGAAAATATTATTTAACAGGTAGGTTTTTGGTGCAGTATCAATTAGGATAACAATGAAATTTAGTTTTAAAATATTTTAATTATTCAGATAAAACTGTCAACATAACAAGTTCCTCCATTGCATTGACCAAACAATAACACAGAAGCTTAGAAAATTAAAACAACATAAAATTTAGATCATGGTTATTTGACTTTTATTTAGATTCTGTACTATTACAATAATTGGACAATAGACTCGTATATTTATTCATGAGGGCTAGCTTTGTTTTCAATTCATAAACTAACTTGGTCTTGAACAAGGTGAAGTAAAAAAATCGTACCTCAATATTAAAAAACAATTTATTGTACTTAAAACACATATTGCTTGCATGTATTTTTCATTGTGTATTTTTCAACTCTTTTAATAATTTCGGGTTAGGAATCCTTGCGTTTTTTGTTTACAGTCACAAGTGTTAAGTGGTACACTGCCAGATGCTCGTAGGGTTTCCAACAATCAGTTATGATTGTGGTACCCGTTGTGCACCTTGAGCAATCTGGCACCCGTAAATGGTTGGTCCCTTTTCCAATCCTACTGAGAACTTAATTTCAACGGATCTTCCTTCCTCGGTTGTATTTCCTTTTTTCAAATTTCACCCCCCCAATTTCCACTACCAGGGCCCTCGAGTCTCATTGAATTTTCAAGGCAGTCTTCTACGTACACTGATCTTATGAATGAAAATCAATCAACGGCAGTATTGCTACAAATATGGAAGTTTCTGAATAAAACGTTTTGGCAGAACGATAAAAATACAAAATCTAAGACAGTATCCCAAACAGACAATTCTTTAATTTAGATCTGTCAGAAATAAACTAAAGCTTACAAGACCCTCTCCAATCACACTTCTTTAGCATTTGCCTATTCAAATACAACAGAGTTGTCACCCACCAAGAGTGATTTCCATCACCAAGATGAGCCCCATCAAGATTTTCCATCACTTTAATCTTTTGACCGATTAAAGTGATGGAAAATCAGGCTTATTTCAAGCCTGGTATATAAAAGAAACATTGGAGCAGAATAGAGAGGGTTTCTTGGTAGCTGAAACACAATTATGTTTGTATTTATTTTATATTATTTTTTCATTTCATTATATGATTTATGGGCTTAATTTTCCTCAAGCTTATTTTCCCATCTATGAGAATTAAACTGTTTCTTGATCCTAGCTGGGTATATTGCACATAATCAAAATATTGCAAAATGCACAAATATTGCTGTGAAAATTGCTTGTGTTTACACACTTAAAAATTAAAAATGCATAACAAAGTTTTCTTACGTACTATGGAAGCACTGTTAACAAAAAGTAACAACACACAGTCACTTAACAAAAACTAAACAACAGAAAAAGTATATAACAAAATAAGATACAATTTGAGAAATGAAGGTAGGCTTAAATGCTTGAGCTCAATACTTATGTAATCACAACTGAAAACAATAATAAGATATGTTAATTTTTTTTATTAAAAAATACATTCCATTAAGGGAAGTTTAACACTGGAAGTTATTGATTTACTTTATGGAAGCTAACATCTTGTTTCCTCAGTGTGAACTATAACTCAAGGAACATTTTATATTTGAGTATTTAGGCCTACTTATTTCCTAGCTCAAAAGAGCGATTTGTAGCTGCTTCAACTGCACCAATGAGAGCAGCCCTGGAAACAAACAAGTAATGTTTAAAAACCTGTTGAAAATGTATAGGCTACCTTTATTTCAACCGCCGTTATGGTGACCGATATATATATAATAAATAAATATAAATATATAAAAATAAATAAATAAATAAATAATTGACTCTGAAAAACAGTTCTAAACAAGTATAATAAACAAGGTAATAAACTCCCTCCCCCTAACCAGGATAATTATTTTGCTTGTCAAAGTAGCAGAATGTTTAATTTTAATGTCAGACTAATGTGAGAAAGTACGTGTCATAGTTTGCCAAGCCATTAAATAAAAACTTGGCTACAGCAGCTAGTCTACTTCAGTCTCCAACAGTCAAAGCTAATACCCACCTCACTCCTGACCTCTCTAACACGTGTATACCAGTGATGGTGGTGCCACCTGGAGAGCAAACCTCGTCTTTGAGTTGTCCAGGATGTTTTCCTGTCATCTGCACCATCTTGGCGGCACCCAGCAGTGTTTGACTGGCCAGCTGAGTGGCCAGGGCTCGCGGCACTCCCATCTTTACCGCCCCATCAGAGAGGGCTTCAATCATCAAGTATACCTAACAACATTAGAATGAAACACTCAAGTTGTAAAATAAGTACAGAATTAAGACCAGTTTCATGTCAATAATATTGATTTAACCTACAGTAGACTCCCTCCTATCCGGACTCCTTGGGACCGAGACCAGTCCGGATAACGGTTTTTCCGGTTAAACCGACATCCCCAAAAACTCGTTAAAACGGACTATTTAACCCTCCAAGTGTCCATAGTTTAGGCCTTAATGTCCACCTATTTTTGGCGCATTTGCAAGGTTTTATTAAAACGGATCTGAGAAGCTTAAAACAATGTTAATTCTAATGTTCTATATACCATTTTGTTTGGAAAATCATGGGCTTCAATATTATATATAAAACATAAGGAACATTTTTTCAAAAAAAATTTTTTTAGGTAAAAAAAAATATAATTTCGAAAATTTTCAAAAAAAAATAAGTTCGCGCTTAATGAAATTGTATAAGTTATAGGCCTATAAATATTTGAAAATAGCCACTTTGTTCTAAATTTTATGAGGATTACAAATATATAATAATATAAGGAAGTAGATTTGCAAATAAATAAGTTATGGGCAAAAAACAGATTTCAGTACATAGCGTTTAGCTAAGAATGCATAGCCTAACCATAGCTAGGAATCTGGCTGATAATTTACATCAATATCACTACCTACTTCTTCAGGATCATCAACCAGCACTTCAAAACCACTTAAATCTTCTTATAATGCAACACGTATATCACTACTTTTGATTTTTAACACTAAAACAATGATAAACGTAATAAAACACATCAGTCATCGGTCGGAGGGTAACCTAGCTGTTTACAAATACACGCACGTCAGCTGTCTGCTACATATTACGATCGGCTCAGATAACGTACAGCGCTGAGACAGACCTCTGGAGAAAGCTTAGAATGAAACGGAAAGAACAATACCTAACTCGATCCAGTTCAATCCGATTCAGTCAGTTATAGAGCCTTCGCCGTAAACGATGTCTGCTTGTCGAAAAATCGACAAGTAACACTACACAAAGTGTGCTGCTTGTCGAATTTTCGTCAAGTAACACTGGGAGGGTTAAATGCATACTGTATGTATACAGTATTTGACTTAAATTTAGGAAAGCATTATATTTACATACGTGATCACTGGTTTCAAATCTTTCCCACGAGAACAGTCGTTTCAGTACCACCCACTTCCTGCCGATCTAGACCGGTTATTCCAATGTGCTGATAAAAATTGTCTGGTTAAAGAGATGTCATTTCCGCCCAGTGTAGTCCGGTTAAACCGATGTCCGGATAAGAGAGAGTCTACTGTATAACTTACGTTCTAAAGCTTTCTATTATTTCTTTTAAAATGAAATAGAAATCTTCAACACAAAGTATAGAAAGTGTGGAAACAATCCAGGTATGTATACATTTAGGCCTAACAGGATTGTACATTTTTATTAGGCTAAACCACTAAAACTACACTAAGAACAAACGGTTTAATATTGTAAACAGTATAGTTCGGTTATCATTCGATGATTTAATTTTCAGACAATAATTGATAGCAGTTTTCAAATCCACAAACACAAGCCATGCACTAATGGGAAGGGATCCCACCAGCAAGAGGAGGATAAATATGAGAGAGGGAACATTAGAGATCATGAGAGAGGCAGTTAACGAGTGGCTCCCTCAAAAACTACAACTTGTATCTGGTCTCGCTAGACACCGATTTTATTTAAACCAATGAATGCATATCCTACTTTTCTGTGTACCCTACTTAACCCTTGCTGTTATGGGCATTCAACACTCAACACAGCTTAACATTGTTATTTTATGCTTGTTGAAGCAAGGCTGTGATTAAATATAAAAAAGAAACAGCTTGCGTATTATAGGTACATGTGTACAATAATTAATTTCTTATTTGAGTGTATGATCCTGCACAAAACTGTGTTTAGGAACCATACTACCGTACCTTAGAACTCCAACCATCCAAATCTATTGCCACTAATAAAAATTTGGATGATTGGATTTTTAACGTAATTCAAGCGATTTATAGAAAATATGCCAAATCAAGCAGAGTTTTAACAATAATTGCAACAGCAGAACGCGTTTGTGAGTGTTACGTGATAAAAAAGTGTACGCTTTTGCCATAATTGCCGAAGATGACGAATTTTCTGTGTCACACATTGGTGATGATGGTCTACCAGACTGCGAGGGATGTTCAGAATTTTGGCGCGATCTCAAAAGACGATGTGATGCGATGTTTCTGTGACCACGGAAACGATATTGAAGTCCACACAACGGCAGGAGATTTTCAAGATTATGTACGATCAGGCCTTCTGCCTTCTTTAGTAATGAATCACAATAGGCCTACTGTAGTTTTATGGTTTTAAACTTCTTTCTGTAAGCGATTTGAATAATCAGGGAGCTGGAATTAGGATATTTGGAGTTTGTATTGTCAGTTTCAAAATCTTACATAAGCAGGACCACTCCCGGCCAGAGCTCCAACTGGGTTCAACAGCCGTTCTGGCACAATCTCACACAGACCTCCGGCAGAAAATATTGTCTTGACTAGTTCACTATCCTCAGCTCTGGCTCCCTCACTCACTGCATACGCTGTGAAAAATTGCAAACTAAATGAATTTGATGGTCACACCTAGAAAAGGTAATTAATTTTGGTACGTCATGAAGATAAGGAGGTAGTTAATAGTATAATAAATAATATTAAACTAACCTGTGGCCCCCGCCCCAACCATGATTGGCGTGTTAGGAATAACTCTGACGATACGCCAAGGCTCTGGACCAGCTTCAGTGAACCTAAATTGTGTCCGCAGTTTCTGTAAACGGAAATTGTCCTGGTTTATTTAACATTGTTAACTATCGGTCAATGTATGAAATTTTGCCTGGTTACAGTACAAGCAAAGAAATATCATTAAAAAAACCAACAAAAAAAAACATTTAAAGATTGGTTTATAAACTTCAAGAGTTAATATTTCTATAACATTTCAAGGGTAAATTTTAAGTATAAATGAAATTTTATAATAAAAATTGAAGGAATGTTTTAAATCTAGGCTTGTATCAAACGTGTTGAAAAATGTATCTGTTGCAAGCTGAAAAGTAATACTAAACGATATACCTTTAAGGAGTGGAACCGGTATTGGATATCATAACAATAATTATTATATATGGCTTACATAGCTATGTTAAGATGTGAAATATGATTGAAGAAAACTTACATCATTCAAAGTTTCGATAGTAATCCCCACAAGAATCGATATGTAAAGTTTATTGTTTGGAACAGGGTCAAAGCTTTTGATTGCTTCGTCTAAATACTGAGGTTTTATTCCAAGCATTATCACATCACATTTATTCACCACTTCAGCTGAAAAAAAAATTAAGAATTAGGACTAGGCTACATCACTCTAGTCTATATGGTTCCAAGAACATCACTCTACATCATGGCTACATCACTCTAGTCTATATGGTTCCAAGAATAGCAAAAACTAGATTTAACGAGAATGGATTTCTTACAGTAACCTACTCATTCTAACATTTGAAAAACTCTTTTAAGAAACATGGCTAGATTGATCTTAAGAGGGTTCCCTACCCCCGCCGAAAAACGTCAGAAAACCGCATTGCGCGGTATCATATAGCGATTCTAGTTTTAACATTTAAATTGTGAACCAAACACCATTTTGTATATAAAGAGTGGTTCTACTTTCTACTAAGTTTGCTTTTTAAAAAATGTCTATGCTTACGCAATCAAGGGCAACGACTTGTCAAAGTTAGTGAACTTTACAGTTAAATAATAATATCTTTTTATGAAATTATCGATTTTTAATAAAGCAATATTAGTGTGAAATTTAACTAAAAATATCAAGTCACTTTTAGTTTCAAGAAAAGATTATTTTTTGTATGTGTAAAATGAAACCGCGTAAAACCTTGCACGGCGAAAAGTGCTATGATTCTGACGGACTCTAGCGGCCTTTATCGAAACTACTGTCTCGCGGAGGGCCTACTTCCACTGCGGAGGCGTCCTGGCGGTGACACGACCAGCAGACAGCAATCCTAGGGAATATTTTGTTGTCTTGTAGTTCCAACTAAACTCACCAGGGTCGCAGAAAATTGAAAACAGTTTGTGGTAGGGAACCCCCTTAATCAACTGTTGGTATATGTCTTCTACAATCAGGAATTCTAACACCTTCAATAAACTCAATTCACACTGCAACGTATCAAATCGAACAATTTATGACATTAACAAAGTTCACCGCCATAATAATAATATCTTAGGCCTAATAAACTAACCAAACCTATCATACTATTAGGCTTTCTCATAGGCTCGGGATAGTAACCAAATAGAAACCTCATTCTAAACAGCCTAGGTTGTTTTACAGTTACCCAAGTTAAACAACGATTCCGTTAGTTCCTAGCTACTTTCCAATTTTAAGGTAAATGAAAACAGATTTAAGTTTGAATCAGTTTGATATAACCTACAATTTGTGACACAAACAGATTCAACATCTTAACGTCTGCCAGCACAACAAGCACATTCATCAAAGGCCATGAATTAATATGTATTAGGTAGGCCTACCTACCAACCAATCACTTCTATTTAAAATATAAAATAGTTGTGATTTGTTTTAAATAAATAAACAAAAAAATTGTTGGTGAGTTGGTGTGTTAAACTTTCAAAATTTAAGAAACTAGTAACCAAACAAACAGATAGGCTATTTCACAACAAACAGAAATAGAATAATTATTTTGAAGAATTTGAATAGGTTATCATTTTTTACACTATATAGTAGGCCTAAGCAGATGGTTTCTGCGCTATTTTATCGACCAGAAAGTCATTGTTTAAAGGAGTCAGCTGGAGTACACTAAATATACTAGTCAGTTTTGCAATCCCTCCCCTTTAGTCCAAGCTCTAATAGGGAAACCGAGCCTCATGTACAGGGCGGGTCGCAGTTGGCGGATGGCGAACGTTCCATCAGATATGGTTGACAGCTGCGAATAAGGGGTAACTCGAATGAGCAATCCCGGATTGAGGCCGCAACACCAAGGGGGCGTGAGAGGGTGATCCGTGGCGGGGTCACACTCAGCAAGTCCTCATGAGCCCGATGATAGTGCTGTGTCATGGCGAGGAAGTGCCGCCATCAAATAAGCACCGCACGTACTGCCTTGTACGATAGGGTTTGGGTACCCAAAGGCTAGGAGAGGGAAACTCTGAAATTAAACCATGGCCAGATCGGGGTCTGGAAGCTGTGGTGGAAGCAATTGACCTAGGAGAAGAGGACTCTAAACAAACTCCTAGTCCCCCAGGATGGGGGTTGGGCGTGAGGTTAGCAACCTCACCCTGTCAAAAGAACATTGCTACATATTTGCAAAATGAGTCTCGGAGATTGGATGGAAATACAGGAACAGACTTAGAAATGCTCAATGGACTCAGAAACGGAAGTGGAGAATGACCTGAGTATATTGAGAGTTAGAAATTGCAGAGAGATGGCACAAAATCCAGCCGATTGGAGGCGAATTCTATTGGAAGCCAAAGGCCACTAAGGCCTGTAGAGCTGCGGAAGAAGAGTTTTGCAATAATCAATAACCCTTTCAGTGCTACAGTGATATATCATTGTGCATCTTTCCCGAAAAGTGCTATGGAACGACATATCGTTATTCACGTTTCTTCCGAATAATGCTAAGTGATAATATATCGTGCCGGCACGACTTTCGATTGTGTTGAGTTTAAATGGGTACATCAATTGACTCGGATGTTATTTCAAAAAACAGCAATGGTTTCTTTCAATTCCTCATACGATCAAGGCTCAATATATTGTTCCTTAACACTTTTGAGATGAAAAATTTTATTTTTACAGATTTTTTCCTCGCATAACTTACTAGACTTTGCCCCCATGGCAAGCCAAGCACTTTTCTGACAAAATAAGTACCGTAGCCTCACTAGCTCTAGCATTTTTTGGAAAATTAAATTACAAGGGGTTTAAAATTAGATTAAAAGGGTTAAACGAAGCTATCCCCCCTCACAATGCTACCCATCCCGCAAGCACAGACCCAACTATTGCAACGATGCAAATATCTGGTTTGAATCACATGAATTGATGCCCGCCATTGTATAAGTTAGTAAACATTTACAAATTAATTTATTACAGAAAATGCATTACCATAAAGTGAATTATGACTTAAGTTGTTATGAGATTACACATGCTTTGAAGTTGGGTTAGATTAGGTAGGCCTAAGTTAAAGGTTAGGTTAAAGGATGAACCTAACCTTTACCTTCCTAATATAACCTCACTTCAAAACACTTAATACAGTTAGGAATCAGCATAAAACCCGACCTAACTTCCCCACATGCATAAATAAGAGCTGATTATTTGGTTTCAAAAGGAATTGATTTCATTCCGCATTAAGTCGGGTATATACAGCTGTTTGCTCTCCTCACTCAGTCCTCAGTCAACATACGGACCCGTCCAGACCATGCCATATTACCATCAGTACCGCCCAATGAAGCTTAGATTTAAATTTTAACCTTCCTTTTACAGCCACTTAGGAATCTCTAAAAAAAACTGATTGTGTTTTTGGATTCAGAGTGAAAAAAACTGTAAGTAGACATCTAAAAATTAGGCCTACACAATATCGCGTTGTAGACATATTAAATAATTGCCGAAACGTGCTCAGCTAGATTTCAGCGATCTAGACCCATCTTAAAGTTTATAATCCTTCAAATTTAAAGTTACTCTTTGAATTATAGTACAATGTGTATAACTAACTTACCATTTGAATGAGTAGTAGCGATTCCCTTTTCTTGCCAAAAGGGAAAATTTGTTTTTGAGGGCGCTGAGACTATAATTGAGTTTGGTTTCACTATCCCTGAAAACACAAATATATTAATTGAATTGGTCTAACATAACAGACGAAGGACATGAGTTAAAGAATCACTAATTTATCAGTTGGCTGATTTTAAAGTAATCATCCTTGATAGGCTAATTTTTATCAGAAATCACTGCTAATGCATAACCTTACCAGAATCCAGCATTCCAGAAACAATTGCCTTAGTCATGTTTCCTGCTCCAATGAAACCTATTTTGCATTCTATCATTTTTTATGGTTAACTGTAAATTTTTAAATTTGAAATACAGAATATCGTTTTATCAATTTTTGATGGAACTGATAAAGAACGCTAATAAAATACGGTACTAAAATTAACGTTTTGTTATCGCCGGACACATGTTTCACACAAAACAAATCAACAAAAATGCTTATTTTGTATTAGTAAGTAATAATGTTGGTTTTTATTCTCCTCTCCTCTCCTTTCTGCTAGTGTTTTTCTAACTCATAAGAACGCAGGCATTCAAGTCAAGTCATCAAGTACTTAATTGGTCACTGTATGAATTATATGAAATTGCATTTCATAATTCATGCAAATAACGCATAAGGCACAAGGCTGTCCAAACCCATTTGTTTTGTAGATGTGCTGGAAATGGGAAATCGAACCCATCCATCTTGCACCGTAATCTGCAATGCACTTTGCTAGCAACATACTATATTGGTATAGTGTAAGTGTATATAAAGTCCTTTATATACTAATACCTAGGAGGATTACTATGTATACTCCCTGATGTGGATTAACGTACGCACTAGTGAGTACTACCATAGACGTACTACGACTTTCCGCAGTACTATCCTGATAATTAGACCAATACGTTAATACCGAGGAAAAAATTTGGTTCGAAATCCACTATAAAAACTGTAGGCCCCTTAGTTGCCATTAGCTGTGGACTATTAAAATTAAGAGATGTGTCTAAGGAATATGCCGGACTTAGTCACTAACAAGACTACAAGATCGCGCCACTCATCCTACACTCATCTCTATTCATACTTGGTTTAAAATACCAACTTTTTAAGATCGCAATTTCAATTAAAAAGTATTAAAACACCATTTTGGGGTCAATTATAGCAAATTTCCCTATAGGGAAGTAGCTGTTACCGTAGGTATAGCATGGTTTTTGTAATTGTGTCCGATTTTGATGGTATTTGGCTTATTAAAGGCGTAGGGCGGGCATGTATCTACATTTTAATCTAAGCTTATCCATCTATCTGAATTCTTTAATCACACAATCATATATTCATATTCATATACTTGAATGAGTTCGTGAACCAGCAAGAACCATCATATTTTTTTAATGGTTTGCTGTGTGCAGTTTTAACAGATTTTTTACTTGGTTTTTGGTTTGGTTTGCAGTGAATTATTTTATGTCTTATTTTTCAGGAAAAGACTGAAATATTAATTTAAGTTCAATATTATGTTAGACAAAGCCTATTGTATACAGCTTAGTGGCAGAAATTAATCTTGAATCTTGAACCATATATGGCAACAAGACAAACAGTTTTTACATTTGCGAAATTTGATTTATTTCATAATGTTTTCCTTAAAGCATGGAAATGTCTAATTCTCATTACAGCACGTTTAGTGTTTAAAAACTTATAAATTTGTATTTAGAATTGATATACAATTAAAAATAACAGAGAAAAACTATACATTTTAATGCTCATGTTATTCATCTTATGGAGTAAAGTTTACTTGTTTATGAAAATAATTTCAATACTATAGGCTGTGAGGCTACAACTTACCAGCTTGTCATAAAAAACTAAGTACCTATCTTCCCCAGTTTTTAATATGCATTTTTATAAAATGAAATAAAATTGTGCAGTACATATTGTTAAATTATATTTGTATCTTACTTCAATGACATTATATCAGTCACGGCCACCTTTAACTCCAGGCCGCGGCCTTCGAACTGGCAACGTCGCAAGTGGTGTTGTAACAGCTGTTTTTGTTTGGAAGTATAGCTAATGGTATTTGTGTATCTATATATTAATTTGAAACTGTTTTTCTTTGTCACAGCTATTTTGAGAGAACGGCTGGGCGTAGAAACTCGGTAGAGGTGTCTAAAGAAAGGTCTTGGTCTGTAGATGAGCCATCAAAAGAGAAACATGGTGAATTCCCTTGGGGTTTTGCCCCCGTGGCCTTTAAATTCCCATTCCATGTTATTCTTATGGAGGAAAACGGGGGTTTTGTCACAGCTAATTTGAGAGAACGGTTGGGCGTAGAAACCTGGTAGGGGTCTCTAAAGAAAGGTCTTGGTCTGTAGATGAGCCATCAAAAGTGGAAAGAGGTAAATTCTCTTGGGGCTCTGCCCCACAACCTTTAAAGTTGCCTCTTCAGATTTGTTTACATTACGACCATATACATAATTATTCTACACTACTTTTTAATGTAACAGCTGTTAATATTTTTAAATTGTGATTTATTGAATTTGTCAAAATGAAGTACAGTATTTGCAATGGATTTTTCTGATTTTAAAATTGATTTTCTTCTGCATCGTGTCATGTTTTGCAATATAATGTTCTATTACCAAATCAGTGGAAAATCCTAATATCACAGTAACTTATAAAATTATTTCCTAAGAGTTAACTTATTTCTATTGTATGGGTTGGTTTCTGCCTTTTTTATCACTTCTTGGAGATTGTACGTAGGTGATATTCTTTTGCATATTGCATCTGTAGACGAAACTTGGGTTGGTGTAATTATTACAATTGAAAAGAGCGAGAAATCCTGGACAATTTGATATAGACTAAAAATAAAACTGAATTAACACTGTGCTACATTTCTTGAGCAATCATTGAAATAACCGATTTGCAAACAATGGAAACATAGACAAAGTCATAGAACACAACCAAGTAGAAGAAATAGAAATAATGTTTTTTTTTCACACTAAAAACGCTCAAAAAACAAGATCAGCTTTTTGAAAAAAGATAAGATATTTACAAAAGATTTTGATTATATCTAACTGTTGTGTAGATCGTGAGTATTTCCATAATCTTTGAGTCGCCTGTAATGCTTGGCAATTGCTCGAATTCGAGCAACAGGTACACTAGTTTACGTAATTTTGGTTACTGGACTATGACAATATTGACTCACTTAAAAATGTACAGATATAGATTTTAATTCATATTGTTTCTGTTTTCAATTCTGTATGTTTCATTTTCAATATTTTAATAAATATATGTTCATAAATTTAAATTTAAATAAATAAAGTGCGAATTAATGAGCTGATGTCACCTGTCTGCCATGCTCCTATGGGACGTCTGTCACTGAACATCACCACTTGCAACGTTGCCAATTCTACAAGGCCGCGGCTTATAGTTAAAGGTGGCCGTGTATCATTTTTTACTTTCGACGAATCGGTTAGGGTTCACTTACTCTACGAATCATTGACACAATGAGCCTCCAAATATGTAATTCTTAAAACACATGGCTCACTTACTCTACAAATCATAGTCTATACGAGCTTCGTAAATAATATTGAAGGTTCACTTGCACTACAGGCTCGTATACTATACGAGCCGATCAAACATATCAAATAAATGAAGAGGGTTCACTTACTCTACAGATCATAGTGCCTATGAGCCAAGCGTATGAATTCTTGAATAATTCAGGAATAAGCTCGTATAGTATACGAGCCAAAATACTGAATTTAAATAAATTACAGGAGTAGGCTCGTATACTATACGAGCCTATTTCATGATAACTATTACACAAATAGAAGACGGCTCACTTACTCTACAGTTCATTGGCACAATGATCTGTAGAGTAAGTGAACCCTCTACAAATATTAGAAGGCTCACTTACTCTACGGTTCATTTAGCTACTCGTCGCGTGGTTTGCAGCGCATCGTTGCAGGCGTGTATGGTAAACCATTACCGCAGTTCTGCCGTTCTGCCTTACTTCTGCCGTTTACTAGTCTTGCAGCGTGAAAGGGAGCTTGTTATGTTAATGCATTGTTGAATTTTTAACTTGTGTACTCGTTGCTAGAAATCAAGCAATTATCAAGTACCGGTATTACAGGAGCTATTTTAAGAGTTATTACAGACTTAATTTTCAATTAATTAAAAAGACTCACGTAAAAGCTTATGCAACTAATGGAATTACTTACTGTGTTATGAACATTTCTATATAATTAAAGTTGTAAATATTTTAAAATTGTTTAGAAGATTGCCTTTTCAGTGTTTTCTACAAACGTGTCTCAACTTAAACACATAGCCGCATTAATGTTAATGTTCATGTGCATTTTCACCAATGATAATGTACCAATGTCGACCGTACCAATGTCTAAACTTTACTTTCAAATGGATTTGTTGTCAAATTTTTTTATATTTATACATCATACATAATTTAAATGTTTTTACGTGACAAAATAACGAAATATAACAAGCTACATTACATACAATATAATTTAGGCTTGAGCTAATGGAAAACTGTAGTTTTCGCATACTTGTCTTAACTTACAGATTCAATTACATCCTTTGTTTACCAAACAAGATGTTTACATTTATTGAAAAAATAACACTTAGACAGATCAATAATTGTAAATTACGATGACAACTGCATTTACATAACAATCATTATACAAAGAAGTATGTTTTTGTGACAAAGAGGTCAAATAGAAATTTCTTTTAGAACTATATAATTTATAAAGACCGGCCTTTTACAGTAATATGGTTTACAGTACTTATTAATTGCGCAGTTGTTAAATGCCCTTATAAACATATGGAAATTAAAAATTTAAATTATTAAATCATTTTCTTTACAAACTCATGAACAATACAAAACGCTCGCTGACCCCTCATAGGAATGAAAAGTAAAGATGATCGCAAGATCTCAAGTTCAAGTCACGTTCTCATGGGCAAAGACCTGGCTGAGAACAAGCCAGGCATAGATTGAATTTCGATTTTAATGATTAAAGTGTAAAAAATTGGCCTGATCTGTAGTTTTGCAAAGTGTTTTTAAATTTTTGAAATCTTTATTAGTTTGGGCAGGATTATTCATCAAAGTTAGGTTTTCTCCCATAAGATTAACATGGAGGAATCTAAATATTTAATTGGAAACTTTGTGTCCACTAATTCGAGAGAACGGCTGGGCGTAGAAACTTGGTAGAGGTGTCCAAATAAAGGTCTTGGTCTGTAGATGAGTTATCAGAAGAAAAACTAAGTAAATTCCCTTAGGGCTCTGCCCCAGAAGCCTTTAAGCTGGGTTTTCCTAGACGCGGAGTCGGCCAGCGGAGAGCGGACAGCGGAGAGCGGAATTGAAATTAAC